CACCACCACCCCACCTCCCCTACCGCCCTTGGGTGATTTGTGGGACTCTCCTGTCTCTTTCTTGCCGGGCTGGAGACTTCCGTGCAAGCAGGCAGCCCTGATCCTGAGCCATGCGGGAGTTGCACGGGGCATCGCCCCCAAACCCCAGCCGCCTTCACCTTGGCCCGCCCGCAGGCACCAAGTGCAATGGCCAAACCACTGGTCTCTTTTTTAAAAAATTATTATTTTTAACGGCTTCTCATGTTTTGCCTGGAAGGTGGGGGGGGGGAACCTTTAACTAGCAATCACGTGAGGCCTTGAGACCAGTACCTGAGAGACAGGCCCATGTTACCGGGTCACGATTTCGATGAGGCCAAACGAATCGCAGTTGAAAACCGGATCAGGCCGAACCGGTCGCAGTTTTCAAGCAGATCAGGCTTTCCATCAGGCCGAACCGATCGCTTGTCTTCTTTAAGAGCTACTTTGCAGTGAGGGCGAGGGGCGCTTTCTTTCTCCACCCTCCCCGGAACGAAGTTACCCGAATTACTAACTAATTATTGGGGGAGGAGAGTCCCGTCTCCCTTCTCACCCCCACCGTGTCCTGCTCTCCCAAATGCAATGACCATGCTTCTTCAGACCCCCTTCCACATCCCCTTCCTTCCTAAAAGCAGCACGCAGAACATGTTGGGGGTTTTTGTTTGGTTGGTTTTATATTTTTTTAAATAAATCAGTTTTAAAAGTCTCATCTTTCGGAAAAAACTTCTGCATTTGCTCGCGCTTCTGTTATCCTTTGCTGGATAGCCTGTCCCTAAATCAAAGAGGGGGTCTAGGACAGGTCAGGGGCGGGGAAATGTCCCCCATTTTTTACCTGGTTGCAGTGCCTTGCTTGTAGGAGAAGCTCGGGTTGGATTTATGCACAAAGGATCTGCCTATGCTTGGTAGGAGACTCTGCAGGCTGACCTGTGCGCCGAGAGAGGCTGGGGGAGCAGTAAAGAAATATTCAGGCAATAGAAATAACATCAGTCCATTTCCTGGGGGTGATGAGATCCTGGGGGTGATGAGATTACTCGGGCTGTCGTGCCATCGGAGCGACCCATGTCTGCAGCCTCTACTCACTGGAGTAATCCCGATTTAGGCTGCGCCTCTGGGTGACTCGCCTGCCTAGAGACTGAAGGATCAGGCCCTTTTCGTTTGAAGCACCTATCATGACACTTGTGTAACACAATAAAAAGAAAAAAATCCTCACTCCTGAAGAGTGCTTCGGCTTCTTGTTGGCCGCGGACTCCGATTCATTTGTTCCTACAGTAATATTAAGAGATAACAATTCAGATGATCTCTCGCGTTAGGGATATGCTGCAGACCGGCCTTGGAGCTGGCTGTTCATGAACTGCGATTTTTAGAAAAGAAAATACTTCGCGAGCCTGGGTGAGGGTGGTTATTATTATTCAGCGTCCTGAAAATCATGAAATAGGCTAGCGAGTGTCAAAGTGAATAGAAATAGAAATTAATAAACCAACGCGGAAAGAAGATCCTGCGTTCAGAGAAGCAGCAGACTTGCACCAATGGAAAAATCCTTCATTTTGTATGCCCATCTCCCTGTCCAGATGTGTTTGTAATCGTTGTTATAACATTTTTTTTTTTTAAAAAGGCAAATGAAGAGCGGCGGCTGTGGGTAGAGCTGGGGCGGCTGAAGGAAATAATCCCGTCCGACAAGATGTATTCATCCCAGGGCTGGAGGGAAGAGCAAAACAACTTCCCATCCGAAGGAGGGGAGGCAAAAGTTGTGCATCTCAATTTGTTAGATAAATTAGCCATCCAGGCAAGCGCCGCGGCAGGGCAAGTGAATTTGTCATGCGAGGCTTGTCTTGACAGAGTCGGCTGCAGGGACCTGCAGAGAGGAATTAAGGCTTGTTTAATTACCTCCCAAATAATTTAGCTACAGCTTAGCCACTAGGCCCGGCCCTGAGAAGGAGCAGGGAATACAGCTCGCAGCTCTTCCTAAGGCCTTCTTTGGTTTTGAAGATAAATCGCCCAGTCATTAGTAAGTCTCAGAAGTGTCCCGAAAAAACATAGCTCGATCTTTTTTATTCTTCCCCTCCCCCCCCCTTTGAAAAATCGCCACTTCCTAGGACAAAATCCGTGTTATTTCCACAAACTTTTGAAAAAGTGATTAAGTGAATTTCAGCCCTAGCTCTTGTCGCAATTATTATTATCACCATCATCAGTATTATCATCATCATCGCCATCATTCCTATTATTATTTCACCCCAAAATGTTTGTGAGCTCCAGTCTGCGGCATTTTCGGTACCAGCTAATAATGCACCCAGTTCAGACATTAAAAAAAAAAGAAAGAAAGAAAGAAGAATAAGAAGAAAAGATTACCGAAATGATGATGACATGCAAATTTCCCCAGAAATTATCATAAGTAAACATTTGAAGCCTGGACTAATAAAATCCCATCTGTGTTACTTCATATCGAGTTAGTAGAGAGCTGTGATAATGAATTTTGTAATATCTCACGAACAGACATCTCAATCAGGCACTAATCCTGTGATTTTACTGCAGAATCACTAAATCTGGAGGAGCCAAATTGGGCTGCTCTTTGGCACAGAGAGAGCAGAGGCGCGGGGACCAGCAAGTGCTCCCAGGCTGGGGGACCCTGCGTTGCCAGCGCCGGGCGCCCACTGCCTGGCCGCCTCCTGCACTCGGACTTCCCAGACAAGGAGCTCGGGTAGTCAGCAGAGGCTCCTTAATGAATAACAAGCACCTGGCTCGGTTCTCCCTGGGCCACACTCCTGCAATCTGCTCGCGCCTCTGCTTTACCTGCTCCCCCACTGCAGCTGCTCCGTTTGTGCCTGCTTGAACCTGCCTTCAGCACAATGGACCTGGGGCTTGCCCAGATCAGGGCAAGAGCCTTCCCAGTGTAACACACACACACACAAAAAACCAAAAAAAAACCCCACCCCCCCCCCCCCCTCAAAAAAACAACAACACAGACATCTCAATCAGGCACTAATCCCCTGATTTTACTGCAGAATCACTCATTTTACTGCACGGCTGGGATTTTCCCTTTCCTTGCTTCGCCTTCTGGGTTTTTTTAAGGCAGAAGCGCAAGGGAGGCAGGCGTTTTAGGCCAGCTATAGGAAACTGTAGGGATCCAGCCAGTGTCA